TTTGACACTAGGCAATTGAGGTCCTACACTGTTCTTCATGAAATAAAGCATGTGTTGGATATTGTAAATCCTCTTATCTTGTGATAAACAGGACTGAATGAAATCATACTGCATGTTAATTCTTTGCTTTGTGATGGTGGGGTGTTTCTTGAAGGCTCTCTTCTAGGTCCTCTTATCTTAGGAAAAGGGCATTTAAACTTCATGGGGACCAGAGACACACTGGGGGCAGGAAGAGGAGGAGGGATTAGGGTCAAAATAAGGGGGGTGGGAATTGTATGGGGAATATAACCAAGATGAAAATGCATACATTGTGCAAAAATGAAAAATGATGTGAAAAATATATAAAATCAATCAATCAATTAATTAATTAATTAAAAGGAGGCAAATTAAGCTGGGGGAAAAAAGACTTCTTGAGCATAATAGAGAAAATTAATACTTAAGGATATTATTTATGATCAGAAAATATTAGGTAAATAATTCCCAAATTTAATATAATTAAACTACAAGAATAATTCATTAAAATAAAATTTATCATGTATAAGCTTTAGCTTGTAAAAAAATAATAAACTTCATCAGAACGCCTTTAATACCTGAACTTTTATTCAGGGAAGTACCATTGTTTAAAGTTCCCACCAGAACATCCATTGAAGATGCCTGTCTCCTGCCAAACAATGACTTCACATTGTAAAGCAGTCAGTGTGATTTAATCTACCGCGTAATCTTCAATGAAACTTGTATTTATTTAACCAAAGTTCAACTGATCAGGAAAGGACAGAAAAAAAATTAGTCATAACATGAAAGAATTATAGATATATAAAGAATAGGAATCAGGAAACTTCCCCAATTAAATGTTTTTTGAGAATGTTTCTTCAATTATATATATGCCATATGTATATATATTTTAAAGCAAGATATGCATATAAATTAGGCAACCTGTGGGGTAAAAGTATTAGAAAAACAGGAATTTTTCTCTAATCCACTTAATTCAGTTGAGGTTGATGTTGGTCTCATGAGTTTCCGCTGTCTGGGGCTCATATGTCTTGGGTTTCTTTTCCCCTTCAAATTATATGGTTATTAATATAATCACCCAGACGGAACCTTCTCTTCATTTTAGTTTTTCCTAAATTTTAAACTTAATACCTGCCTTAATCTACAAAGATTTCATTTTAAAAATTTAGTATTATGAAAATGTTTAATTTTAAAGATAAGATTCGACAGGCCATCAAATTTTAAAGTTTTGATACTAACAGAAAATATTATCTCCCATCCCCACAGATCTGCACAAATTTCTATTTTATCTTATTTGTACCTTTCATTACTTACTTCCTGAAAGTTTGCCATATACATTTTCTTTGACTGTCATCAGTGTGAAACAGAAAAGAGAGATGGTAAATCTTAATCAGATAGTGTGGAAAATGAGTTCTTGTACTATTTTACTGAGACACTGGTTGATTTTTTCCTAGATTTTAATGAAAACACTGCTAGGGGATGGGAATAGGAAACTAGCATAGAATATCAATAAGATTGTGACTTGTGGCAAGGCCTTGAAGTTCTTTTCCTGGGTTTGTGTAGGAAAAGTTTTAGACAAACTATGCATTGCATAATGTATGAGAGAGGCCTTGTCAAGTGGGGGTCACCCCACAATGCTGCAGGGGAATTATTCTTACTCATAGGGAAGCAGTTCAAGGTGAGGGGAATAAATATATCTTCAGGTTTTGTAGCATGCTGTATTTGTTTCATCTAGACTTTAGGGATGCAGTTTTATTAGAGGAAGCCAGTAGAGGGGAACTGAATTGTGATTTTATAGTCAACCATTTCACTTAGCCTTTGGAGAATACACTTTTAATGTGGGAGGATGGAACAGTCTCTTAGGCAGCTCTTACTTAACTAAACTTTCAGCTATCAGAGAGACCAGTGTTTTTGGACTTATGGATTACTAGTTTTGCATTCTTATTAACAAAACATCACCTTTTTTGCAGTCTAACTACAATCATTGTGTGTCTCTTCCTTATTCTTCCTGCCAAAGGATTCCTTTACTGTTTGGCTATAATTAATTTATAGACTGTTTGGCTATAAATACTTTATGTCTCTTCTTATTTCTCCAGACAGCTTTGCCCTTTGTTATTTTCTTCCATGGACAGGAGTCCATTTTGTATGGACTTTCAGAGGTTACTTTTTTGTTGTTGATTTCTGGTGAGTTATATTAGATTTCTGTATGAATTTATCTACTCCAACCCCCAGAAGGAAAGACATGTGCTATGACAACCAATATGGGATCGGGTTCTATTCAATCTGTTCCCTCCCTCATTGCCACCCAGAGCCTCTGGGTAACCAACCTGGTGCCTGTTTCTGTGGAATAATCATTTTAAAACTCATCTACCAAAGCCTATGCACATATATACAAACTCAGTTTTGCCTGGTATTTTAGCTTTAGAAAGGCAAGTTGTGCTTTTGGGGACTTTTGAGTTATAGCTCTTGAGCTTTGCTGTTGCCTTGTGTAGAACCATCTTGGGTTCAAATATTGTTTTCTTTAACAACAGGATTTCTGTCAAAATCTTCGATATTTATGGTGGCTTAACCGGAGGGTCTTTTCCTTTTGAATTCTGGTGATGCTTCTTTTTAAACAAAAATTTGAAATAAAAGGGTGACACTGGGATGAGTCTTACAATTCCTATATATTCTTGGTGTCACAATCTGTAAATTGCTTGACGACAGCTATAATTCTTCCTGGAGAGAAAGAATCACATGCTTGGAACAAAGTAAACATTTTAAATTTTTGTTGAAAAAACCAAGTGATACAGAAATAGTGATGTGGATTTAGTGGTAGCCTATGCAGTATTAAAAAAAAAGATTGGTGGTTTTCTAACTCTGTAACATAAGCAGAAATGAATTTTGGAGGAAATCACATAGATAATATTTTTATATGATCAGCAGGCAGCTAAATGATTAGATGATTCTGGCTATTCTGTAACTTTTTGGTGTGCAATCAAATTTTGCTTTCTATGCTCATGCTTATATCTTTAAAAAGCACTTGATATTTTAAAATATTAAACAAGAGGGCCTCCCCGGTGGCGCAGCGGTTGAGCACTGGGTTGCGAAGCTGCCCGCGGCCTCTGCAGCGCCGGTTCGATCCCCGGCTGCTCCCCGGCCACCAGAGGAGGGTCCCACATGGCGCCAGACCTCTCCTGCCGCCCGCTGCTCCCCTCAGCAGTGTACTTCGGTCCTTCTGCCTGCTTTGCTCCCTGCTCTGGCTCTGGTGAATTCTCTCACACTCCCACGCTTCTGACTGTACCCAGTGCATGTACAAATAAATAAATAAATACATGCCTCTTTAAAAAAAAATAATAAAATAAAATATTAAACAAGAATATCAAAATAAAGATCAAAGACAATGTTACAGAAATAATCTTATTACTTGAACACAACTCTGTTTAGTTTTTTTCTTTGTATAATTTTATGTGTTTATGTACTTTCTATGATTGTAATCATTTTGCTTTTTCAAGTGACATCAATTAAATTAGATTTTAATTCTGTACATTTGTTATGGAATTATGAAATCTGGCATCTTAGCACTTGCATAGAAATTGTGTCAACATCATTTATTGGCCAAGAGGATTAAGACTAGCTTTCTTAGGGCAGTACATTAAAGATCATTTGATTGCCTTTTTTTAGCAGTGTACTTTTGATATAGAATTTAATTTTGAGGCTAAAACAACAGGTATTGTACTGATAAAAGTTTGGAGGGAAATTTTTTTTGTATTTCTTTTTTCTCTATATATAATTATTGAAATTAGGAAAAAAGTCAAACTTTATGCTGTTTAGAAGGTTGTTTTTTGTTCAGGGCCTTTTAAATAGAATTAAAAAAATTACTATATAATATGTTTATGAAGTGGCTCTGTCAGTAGAACTTGAATTTTCTTTTATAGTTTAAAGATAAACCAAGTTGGGCGTTTGAAAATCGGTTTGTGTGTTTAAATTATGCCTTTAAGCCTTCTCCACCTCTTTTCCTGTATGACCTTGTGCAAGATATCTAGTCATAAATGAAAGGTAGAGGTAGAAATACTTAATGTTGATTTGATTATGATGAATAGTAGTTCATGACATACAGAGCTACTGTGAAGAGGCAGAGACTTTTAAAAATTGCACTGGACTCTTTCAAACAACTATTTCAATATAGGGTATATTGTCAAAAAGCCTCCATTCTTGGAAGCAAATGTACATAGAGATGTCAGGGACCTGGATGCTGTTTAATAAGCTCTTGTTGCTTCCAAGTATGCTTAATTTACTTAGGCTCAGGTGTACTCAGGTAGTCAGTGTGCTCAGAACAGAGAGGCCCTGTTCAAGATTAGGTGAACTGACTCATGACTCATTTGATATCTCTCCTATGGAGCCTGGCCCTCATTGAGTCGGTTCTCTTTTAAATTGAGATATACCCTCAGCCTTTTCTCCCATTAGTAACCTCTAGTGTACCCCTTGAATGCTGAGAGTAAGAGACTTATGTTAATAAGTAATAGTCCACATGCCCCAAGTCAATTCTGAATCAAAACACATATTTCTGTAATAGTTTTGGGAGTGGGGAGGTTGGGGAGGGGAGGCTGAGGAGAGGTGGGAATAATAAAATCTTTTATTTCTCACTCCAGAAAGGATAGATTATTTCTAGTTAAGATGGGATTTGAGTAGAAAAGACAGATTAGAGATAGGATTACACAACAGAAAATACTGTTAATCTAGTCAAGCAAATTTAGATATAATACTGACACAATAGCTGAGACCAAGTCGCTTGGAACTTGTCCAGTGTGAGAATGTCTTGTTGTATTCATTAAAGGATAACTTAAAAACTAGGGGTTGGTTGTAAAATTACTGTTTTTATTTTTTGGTGAGTGGGAGTTAAATGAACTGTTTTTCGAGAAATAAATAGCCACACACTTTTAGCTAGTTAGTCACTCCTAAGATGAGAGTCATGGTTTTGTTAATTTCATCAACATGTTCATTTCTTTCAGCTCCATGTTCATGCATGTCTTTTAACCCGGAAACAAGAAGACTGTCCATAGGTCTAGACAATGGTACAATCTCAGTAAGTACACATAAATAAGATTTCCAGTTGAAATACTTCCTTCTTGTGAAGTGTATATATATATATATATATATATATGTATATGTGTCTTGTAATGAGAATATTTATTAGTTTTTTTTTTTTTTTCAAATTGACAAATGAATTCTCTTGTTAAATAAAGTGGAAATTACAGTGCAGGAAATTATAATGAGATGTAGAGAGCAGTTATCAGTCTTAAATGCTGACAAAATTTAGCTTGACCACGGGCACACAGTGACTAGAATAGGAACATATGAAGCCAGTGAGTGAGTCTGTGTGGTGGTGAGAGCAAGCTGCCATACTGGTGATTTTGATCATATGGTTAATCATGGTGTCATATGCTTCCCCACACATGTGGCAGAACGCAGGGAAGAAGTGTCTTAGAGCTGCAAGTCTGGTCTTGTCTTTGTTACTAGGTGTTCTACTTCCCCACTTTCTTTCCCTTGTTGTCTCTTCTACTCATTCAGGCACATGAATAGAATTCTCTACATTTGTGTGAATTTATAAGGAAGGCTTAGAATCTAGATTTAGTTTGTAGGGTAGATCCAGATACATACTAGACCTTGGGATTATAGATCTTGAGGAAACTGAAGTAGAGATTGGAATTTCAGATTTTATCTACCTACTTAATTACCTTTTTTCGTACTTGCTATAGTTTCAACTAGTAAATTAACTAGTAACATGATCTGGTAAATTCTCCATTTCAGTAAATTATTTGCTATTGCCTTTAATACTGCTTTGGGACCTGCGAGTTGCTACTCTGGCCACCCCTCCTCACAGGGTGATTAGTGTGTGTGTGTGGTGGGGGGGAACCAGGATGTGCCCAGGGTAATCCCTTATTTCCTCCTAAGCCCATGCTCTGGGTACCCGACTCCTATTTCCTGTCCCCAGAGAACATAAAGCCTGCTTCCAGGGCCTGCATAAGCCTTTTCCCTGGATCTGTTCTGAAGAGATATGAAGAGATAAAACCAGCAGTAAATGTACCTTTAGGTCTGAAAGGTAACTAAGGGACAGTGGTTTGAGGTGTGTAGGAAGTCTATCCATATGCACAAAGCCTCTCAAGGTGTTGATTTGCAAATGGGAAGAAGAAGGTGTGAGTTGGGCCCCCCTACACTAATACACTATGGTATGGAACGTCAAGGAGACTAAAATTGAAAATTTGTAGTGATACTGCCAGATAGTTGAAGGTATATCTGGTAAGACTGGGGGAAAAGGCTACATTTTATTTAATGTTTAACAGTATGTATAACTTTAAAATATCTAGACATATAGAATGTGTGTCTCTAATTGTAATCTTTATACCTACAATTTTTTTTAGTTCTTCCTGTTTTATTCTTTTTTTTATATCATTGTTCATTTTTAAACAATATTTGCTTTCCCCCGCCTCCTCAGGTGTAGCCCCCATAGAATTTCCTTCACCAACGCACCCAGTCTCCTGTGCTCCTCCCTCCCTCCCTCTGATCCCTCTCCCTCCTCCTCCCCTGCAGTATGTTTCTGATTTGTCATTGTCCGTTTTTGCTCTGTTGTGTTTTGTACTGTTACTATTTTTTTTACACTGATGTCTTATTTTGTTCCCCTATATTCCTGTTATAGGTGAAACCATCCGATATTTTTCTTTTTCCTTCTGGCTTATTTCACTGAGCATAATTCCTTCCAACTCCATCCACGTTGCTGCGAATGGCATGAGTTTATCTTTTGTGATTGCTGAATAATATTCCATTGTGTATATATACCACATCTTCTTGATCCAGTCATCTATTTTTGGGCATTTGGTTAACCCCTAAAAATGTTAAGAAGTAGGCCTGAAATTTTCCATTTGCTCTTTAGTCAAAACATTTGTTTGATGATCTTTATGGAAATGTTAACAATATTGTTAAATACAAACTAGTCTATTGACAAAAATATTTATGGAGTTTTTGTAGTATCCATTGCATATAGTAGATCTCTAAGCTGTTCCTTAGGAAGACAAGAGAAGTTCATGATACAGATCTTTGGCTGCTTTAAAGAGAACCATTTTTAAAAAGGGTGTGGGGAGATAAATTTATTTTAAAAGATAAAGGGAGAAATTGGTTTGTTTGAACTGAAGTATTCATTACAAAGGAAATCTGAAAAGATGACTGGAGCCAAGAATTCATAGAATAGAATGTATTGATATAACACTCTCCTGGAAAAGACTTATTTGTATATAAATGGATGATTCTCCACACTTTTGAAATTAGTGAAGGTGGTTAATGGGTGCTCATAAATTTGAGTCTGAAAACAGGAAAGGTGAGCAAAGTAAGTTATGGAGAGTTCTGGCTATTTATTGTACACAAGAGGCGAAACCATCTTAGCAATTATTCCTTAGTAAATGAAACTGTCAATGAGCTGGAGCATAAGTCAGGAACTGGACTGAGATGCTTCTAGGCATGTCTGTACAAAGTTGAGTTAGCAAAACTTACCTTCATAGGATCTTCTAAAAAAGATTAAGAACCTACTTTTTTAATTACCTTAAACGTACCTCTTTTATGTGGCTTAAGATATTGAATTGGGGGGACCTCCCTGGTGGCACAAGGGGTTGACACGCAGTCTGTGAAGCTGTCCGTGGCTGCTGCAACACGAGTTCAATCCTCGGCCAGCGAGCTACCCACATGGCGCAGCAGACCTCTCCTGACTCGCCCGCTACTCCCCTCAGCAGTGTATTTCACTCAGTCTGCCTGTTCTGTTCCCCGCTCTGTCTCTGGTGAATCTTCTCACCCCCCCACAGCTCTGGCCTGTACCCCGGTTCTCGTATGTATAAATAAATAAATCTATAAAAAAAAAGATAATGAATTGTGTACCTTACCTATTGTCATCTGAAGAATTACATAGATTTCTGAGTTAGGGGAAGCTACATTGAGAGAACAGCTTGTCTAAAGTCCAGAATTCTCATCGATTGCTACAATAACAGCTCTTGATTGAATGTACTTATACAGCCTCAACTATTTAATAGTTTACATTCTGGACATGAGAAATCCTGTTCAGAGTCTATATATTCTCTCTTCCCTGAATATAGCAAATAAATTTAAAAACACATATTGGTTAATTTATTTTGACGTAAAGAAAGGACAAAATCAAAAAGTGAATCTTTGTTTCAGTTTATTTTACAGAATGAAAGAGGCAATTCACCTATATAACTGAGTAGTAAATTAGAAATGCAGTAGATAGACCATTCTTTCAAAAACTGGGCCACAGAAAAAGGAGAGAGAGGGTAAGTGCTGGAACAAACCAGGTGTTCAATGTTAGACCAGTGAGAGGGTCCAGAAACAGTTTAGAGACTTTAACTTTGGGAAAGAATGGAGGACTTTTGAGGTAGGAGGGAAAGACAGGCAAGTTTTGAGAAGTAGGAGAGGATTGGCTTTTTTACTTTTCCCATAAAGTAGCAAATTAGGTCACCTGCTGAGAGAAGCTAACATGGGGTAAAGTATGTTTTCATATCTTATCTGTCACTTCTGATCTTATAATTCAGAATTCCCTTTGCCATCTTGTCTCCAGGGTCCCAATTATCTCTCAAGGCCTTGTTTAAAATGTTATCTCCTCCCTTTTTGGAGGGAGGAGATGTGGACACAGGTAGTTCCCAAGCTCTACCAGTTGAAATTAGTCAGCCACAATACCTAGTGGGCTAGCTATATTGTGTTCTTAGTTAACTTTCATGAGAAGTTTCAAAGTCTATTTTCTCCATTAAAGTGTCGAGTGTTGAAGCCTTGGCCAGGCTTTTATTCATCTCCTCATCCAGGGGGTCTTAGTGTGGTCCCTTGTACAAATTAGGGGCTCAATGAAAATTTTGTTAAATAAGTTGACTGAAGTAAAAACACTATTATTATTTAATACAATTGGTTTTAATAAATATCTGCTTAAATCCCAAGATAGTATATTTGTCAGTTCTATTGCTATTCAAATATTTTTTGCAATGGGTTACCTTCTGTAGAGGAAAAGTTGTCAATAATTTAATTCATTCTGAATTTTCAGAAATATCTTCTGTTTTAATATTGAAAGAAGTCAGGTTGTACAAACTGTTTATATTGAATTACGACTTTAAAATGTTCTATTGTAGCCAAACAACACATATTACATATCAACTGTGCAAAAGATTATGTTCAATTCTAACATGTGACTCATGCTCTCAAAGAATTTTTCATTCAGGGCCGCCCTGGTGGTGCAGGCGGTTGAGCATCGCGCTGTGAAGCTGTCCACAGCCTCTGCAGCGCTGGTTCAATCCCGTCCGGCCTGCGAGGGTCCCATATGGCGTGGCAGAACTCTCCCTGTCTGCCCGCTGCTCCCCTCAGCTGTGTATTTGGTCAGTCTGCCTGTTCTGTTCCGCGCTCTGTCTCTGGTGAATCCTCTCACCCTCCCGCACCTCTCACCTGTACCCCGGTTCTTGTTAAATAAATAAAATCTTTAAAATAAAAAAAAATAATTTTTCATTCATTTGGAGAAAAATTAAGACAGGTTATAAAATAAGTAACTCAAAGTACAAAAAATAGTAAGGGCAAAAGTAGCAGTACACCATTGTGATGTTGGCAAAGCAATCAGGTGAGAAGAGAGTAGGAGAGAATGGTTTCCGACAGCTGCATGGAGTCTGGCTGTGAGCTGGAGTTAGAAAAAGTGCTAGAACCTGATTAGTTAAAGATAGAAAGATAGGGTATTTCAGTCAAAATAAGTGGTAAATAATAGAAAACCAATGGAGGTAAGAAAAGAGCAAGAAACGTTTGGCAGGAAATGAACCAGTTTGAGAAGTGGATTAATAGGGTATAAAGTATAGAGAGTTGTTAGGAGTAAATTGTGAAAGACCTGACTCAGGATAATTAGTTCCCATTGTGTAAGCAACAGGGAAGACTCCTCCGCACCCCCAACCCCTACATCACCACCTCCACAGGTAGACTTTCAAAGGGCATAATGGGGAAAGAAATGTCAACACAGAAATTAAAGAATTTCCATTAAACTAATTTTTACCAACCCTACAG